GATCACTCTCCTCGGTGTCTGATGGCTTCAGGGCGTCTCCTGAGCGATGTAAGGCTGGCTCACCATCTTTGCTCTCGAGGCCACGAGGCATGTTTAAGCTGCACCTTTCTTCAGCCATGCTGGGGTTAAACAAGCTTTTGATGCAGTCGGAAATTCTCACCCAAGGATCTTCGGTTGTCGTCTCCAGGCTATAATCCACCCTCGCTTGTCTTCTGAGGGCAGGCCTTGTAGATGGGTCTGTCTTCCCTGGAGTGGCAGAAAACACTAAGATGCATCATATGATTTAAAAAAAAAATATGTCAGCTCTCGCCAAGGGGACCATTCTGAATTCAAAGTTGTCCTGTAGGATTACAGTTTCTGCACGCTTGTCAGCAAGGTCCACCGAACTCAATTTTACCCAAGGAACTCTACAAAAATTGGTTTGCATGTGTGCCACTACCAATCCTGGAATTGCTCCCTTGTAGCCCTATCCCTGTGAGTGAAATTTATTTCTAAGTAAGCAAAAAACTGAGAAAATCTCTTTCAGGTGGAGCTAGCTGTCCATGCAGTTTTTATGGTAGCAACAGAGGCGCAAGGTCATTATCTTCTTCTATTTTTTTTTAAATTCAAATGTAATCATGGGAATTCCTGGTGGTCTCCAATACAAGGGCTAACAAATCCCAAACCTCCTTAGCTTCTGAGCCTAGACAAAGTTCAGGTGTGCCACCAGCTGAGAAACTTCCAAGTAGACACAGTTACTAACCTACATAGTTGCACAGTTAGATAATCCCACTTCATTATATTAATTTTGAGTGCAATCCCAGACAGATTTATTTGCAGAAAACTGCCTGCCAATCTGCAGTCTTGGTCATAATAACCATCACTTGCCCAGGATTGCAAAGCTGGAATTTGCAAAATAATTCTTATTTCCCATTTAAAAGAGACTCCTTGATGAACGCTGACTTTCCAATTGCAGAGAACCGAATCTTACCTTTGTTGTTTTTCTTTTCCTGATCTGCAGCTCCCGGGGACACCTTCAGCTGTTCTGCAGCTCGTGGAGCTAAGGAACTTGCAAATGCGCCGTGCGTTACAACCGTCTTATTTCTCAGCCACAGCAGGTCCCCAACTTCCTGTCGACAAAACAGGAAGCACATAGCTGACAACACTTAGTTGCATCAAACTGCATTCTCTGGTACCTTTAGAGCTGTTCCATCTAGATCAGGGCTCCTCAAACTTGGCCAGTTTAAGACTTGTGGACTTCAACTCCCAACATGGCTGGCTGGGGAATTCTGGGAGTTGAAGTCCAGAAGTCTTAAAGGGGCCAGGTTTGAGGACCCCTGATCTAGAGAAACATAAAAGGTTTCATCTAGAACTCAACACAAAATCACCTTGGGCTTTCAAGTCGGACAAATGCTGTTGTTAGTTCAGCTTTATGCCATTAGATTCTGTAGTCAATCACACTCAGTTAGGATTTGGTTGAATACTGATTTATCTAAACCAGTGTTTCTCAACCTTGACAATTTGAAGGCATGTGGACTTCAACTCCCAGAATTCCACAGCCAGCATTGCTGGCTGTGGAATTCTGGGAGTTGAAGTCCACATGCCTTAAAATTGTCAAGGTTGAGAAACACTGATCTAAACACTGGGTTAAAATAACAGGGATTTCTTCTCTCTTTTTTTTTAAACCATCTTTTTTTTTTAGCCACTTTTTAAAAAATGTTTGCAGTCAATTCCTAAACTTTTTTTTTTTTTTTTAATCAAAATAGGGACTTGATTTACACATGCATTTCTGTTTCTGGAAAAATAAAAATGATGCTTTCAGAGGCTTAAATACAGTATTCTCCCCCTCCCCCAGTTCCCATTTGATTTGATTTGCATTTTCATTTGAAAGAGGAAGAGAACGTTGGTGAAATGTTCTTGGGTAAAGTGTGGTTTTCTTTTCTTTTTTTTTCTTTTAATATGTTTTATTGATTTTTAACGTACACCTTCATATTTGGTAAACATCGTGTTGTATGGATTAATGTTTGTTATACTAAGAAATGTACTAATTTAAGGTTGATAAAAGAGAATATTATTGGAAGAAGAGAAAAATCAAGGAAAGCTACGATGTGGAGTATGGAATTATAGAAACTAATTGTTATGATTGATTGTTTGTAAATATAAACCCGGACAACACACTGTTTACCAAACATTAATGGTGATTATGTTAAAAAAATAATAAAATATATTTAAAAAAAAGGAGTGAATTTTTATGAGGGGGATTCTCAAGTAAATAAGATATCTAACAGCTGTTTCCAAATCAATCAACAAGGTAATCAACAAGGTTGGACCCCACCTTCACAAAAGAGACATGTCCCCTTTATGTTATTACTTTTTATAGGAATAGGATAATAAGCCGCCTGGGAAAGCCAAGGGAAATCATCAAAACAATTAAAAAACGAAAATTAGAATATTTCGGACATGTGATGCGACACCCAGAAAAACATGGCCTACTCCATTTAATCCTCCAGGGAAAGATGGAAGGCAAACAAGGTCCAGGCAGAAGAAGAACATCGTGGCTTCAAAATCTAAGGGACTGGTTTGGACAAAACTCAGCAGCACTTTTTTGTGCGGCTGCTGATAAAAACAGGATTGCCAACATGGTCGCCAATGTCCGATAACGGATATGGCACAAGAAGAAGAAGANCCCTTCTCAAATCCTAACCCTTCTCAATCACTGTGCACTGGAAACTTTAACCTTTATTTGCCCACTGTGCCCTGGAAGAATCACGCAAAATGTACAGAATTACCTCAACCCTCCTAACCAATGTCCAGTGGAAAGACTTACTTATGATTCTTTTCTCTCTCTCTCTCTCTCTCTCTCTCTCTCTCTCTCTCTCTCTCTCAAATGCCCAGTCTGTTCCCACTCCCCCCCCCTTGCCTAATTCTACACAAATATTTCTTCCTCCACCACACCACCTTCTTTCCCTAGATTATTCTGAAATATTTTCTATTGAAGACCACAAAACTAAATCAAGGTACCTTCTGTGCATAGATTTCATCTTGAATGCCCTTCTCCACCCCCAACACTTATTCCTTTCCCGTTGTCAATACTCGGACTCACTGGAATCCATGGACGTTTCGCTTCCTGTGGACACTGAGGACTGAAGGGGCCCACTGGTGCTCCATTGTCTCTCTTTGGGCTTTCGTGTGACAATCACTGCCAGCCCGAGGTGCCGCGCTTTTCGCAAGATCTCCAGGGCTTCGGTGTGAGTGGCACCCTTAAGAGATTTCCCATTGATCGATAAGACCTCATCCCCTTTTTGGATAGTTCCTTCCTGCGTTGCTAGACCACTGGGGAAGACTTTGTGAACCTGTTACAAATTTCCGAAAGACGGAAAGACACGTCGTGAGGAAGTTTCCTTACCCGTCTTTTGTTTGCATCTTGAGAAGTAAGGTGGGTGAGATTTTTTTTTTAATTGCACTATAGAGTTTGAGAAGTGGAGGGCGTCAGCAAATTAAGCCTTAGTTCCATTTAAAAAGAGGATTAATTTATAACGTTCTTGTCAGCGCTAATAAAATAATATTGTGGGGATTTCTTTCCTTTTAAAAGACAGACAGGATCCTAGAAACAGAAAAGTTTTTGAATGTGTCTACGTGGTGGCAAATAAGCGGGAAAATTGTTCTCCTGTAAAGGAGAACATAAAAAGGAAGAAAGGAAGAAAAAAAGAAGGGAGGCAGACTAATATGATAATACAGAATGTGATTTTACTTTCTCTGGTTTAAATTTCATTATGTGCAACAAGATGAAGACCTGGTATGGTATAGTAGTGGGAGTGCTGAACTAGGAATGGAGAGACTGGGCTTCCAGCCTTCTTTGGATTATGAAAGAATCCATATGAGATGGGAACTGAAGCTATTCTCACAAAGGGTTTTTGATCTATCGAGAAGCGCCTCCGTAAAATAACCCACCTAGCAGATTACTTACGACAACAGTTTTGTTTTCAAGGTCTATTCCACCAGCCAAGCTAAACCCAAGGCCAATCCCTTCTTCTTTATGGAGAATCGTCACATGAATGTCACTGAGTTGCTGTGCAAAGCAAAATAATAATAATAATAATAATAATAATAATAATAATAATAATAATAATAATAATAATAATAATAATAGTAGTAGTAGTAGTAGTAGTAGTAGTAGTAGTAGTAGTAGTAGTAGTAGTAGTAGTAATAGTAATAGCGCCTTGGGTGCAATTCCAAAACAACTGGAGCACCACTTGAACACCATTGGCATTGACAAATTCGCCATTAGTCAATTGCAAAAGGCAGCCTTACTAGGAACTGCTTCCATCCTGCGACGAGATCTGTAATACCATCAAACATCCACATCTGTCTATCTCAGGTCCTTGAGAAGGACTTAATAGGTAGACAAAAATGCCAAATCCAGGCTGACTGTGTGATAATCATTATCATCATCATCATCATCATCATCAATAATAATAATAATAATAATAATAATAATACATCAAGAAACTGCAGCTTCCTGCAATAACTCCAGCAACATTACAAAAAAACTGCGTTACTCGGAACATCTTCTATTTTAAGGAGGTACCTGGTTGATACCTAGGATGCTGGCAGCAACCCGTGTCAACCATCAGCGCCAGCCAATTTGAATGTTCAGTTGACTGAGGTTCATGTTTAATGAATAAAAGATATTAATAATAATAATAATATAAAGAGGGTGAGGTGAGAAAAAGAAGATTCTGAATACTGCAAGTATTAAAGCATTCCTGAAATATTCATTCTCAGCTTCTGCTTCAAAAGTGAAAATGCAGCCCCTCCCTGTATAAATGAATCAGTGCTAGGGAATGGATGGATGGATGGATGGATGGATGGATGGACAGACGGATGGATGGACAGAGTAGTCCATCTTGCTGATACTATTGGCTCAGCTGGTTGAGAGTGATAAGGATTGTTGTATGAAACACCCACAGATTCCTGGTTAGGAGAAGCTATTGGAAAAGTTGAGAATGTCAGGGACTTGCCTTTAGTGTTGCTTCATCCAAAGCTTTCACCTCCTCCAGAAGCTTCTCCAGTTCTTCAGGAGTGAGCAGAGAGATGACAGCTTGCCCGGAGGTGCCCAGGGTTGGAGACGGACAGGATTTCTTCTTATCTTCCCTCTTCTCTTTGTCCGGTTGATTTGCTCTATAGTCTCTCAACTCAGAAAGGCTAGACAGTTTGGGAAGAGGAAATAAGAAATGCTGAATAAGAAGCAGTTGGATTCAATTTTGAAACTTCTCCTTTTTAATTTTTCTACTCCTTCTCCTCGTTACGGTCAAGCCACTTTCTAGGCTCCTATTACCACCACCAATTCACCCGTGTTTTTCAGAGATACCTTTTTTTTTGTTTAATTCACTTTTTAGCGCAAATGGAAATGTCAGAAAATCTGACAAGAATAGAGAATGGATCTTAATGATCAAAATCTGGATTCTGTAAGTTCTTCTTACGGTGTTACCGTCTTCTTACCTGCCCTAGCAAAGTATTTGAATTCAGAAATTGGGACCTATTCAGCAAGCCAGCAATGGCTTAACAGGGTACACCAGCATCACTTTCAATTCCTCCAAAGAGTTTCAAAATAATTTATGATTGTCTTCCAATATGCCAATGTCAGAATGTTTGGAGGGCAAAAATTATAGTCCTTCTTCTAGCTGCTGCCCCTTATTTTCACTCTCTTCAAAAGGGAATAAATGCAGAAATGTTGCAGTTTTGCAGAAATATAATCATCCTTCCATATCCTTANTATCTATCTATCTATCTATCATCTATCTATCTATCATCTATCTATCTATCATCTCTCTATCTATCATCTATCTATCTATCTATCTATCTATCTATCTATCTATCTATCATCTATCATCTATCTATCTATCTATCTATCTATCATCTATCTATCTATCATCTATAATCTATCATCTATCTATAATCTATCTCTCTATCTCTCTCTATCTCTCTCTCTCTCTCTCTCTCTCTCTATCTATCTATCTATCTATCTATCTATCTATCTATCTATCTATCTATATTATCTGTCTGTCTGTCTGTCTGTCTGTCTGTCTGTCTGTCTGTCTGTCTATCCATCCATCCATCCATCCATCCATCCATCCATCCATCCATCCATCCATCCATCCATCCATCTCTCAACGCTTGCTATGAGGAACAGCAGAAAAGCTAGAATTTGCAGGAACTTTATGTTCAAAGGCCTGAAGCCAGAACATAAAGTTCCTCCAAATTGGAAAACAGACTACCCACAAACGTCACAAAGCTGCTGCAGTTTAAAGAATCATTTACTGTGGTTTCAAATATCCCACAATTGAATCAGAAATAAATCATCTCAGCTCTCAAATACAGCCAACCTGGTGGTATTTCACAGTTGTTTTCAGGGGGGCTCAGAATTTGCAAAGTAGACGAGCTCATAAAGACCGGAGCCAGCCATTCTATATTTCAGGAAATACTGAATACAAGTGTTTGTTTCCTCTGAAACTCAGCCTCTTGCATCCACTGGGGGGGGGGGGGTTCTATATTCATCACACTTAGATTCCTGAAAGCCACATGTTCTCCCATTTGCGGGAAAGCTTTTTTCTCAGAACCTGCTTCAGAAATAAAGGGAGACTCGGCACGTTGAGATTTAAAAGCAGAAGAAATGAAAGTATAGGCCCTGGGGTCAAGGGGAGAAGAATATGCTGTAATTTCCTCAAATAAGCACGTGTGATGGAAGAGCAGAGGGCCTGAATTGCAACACAGAAGCTGGTGTCAAAAGAAAAGGTTTTCCAAGCAATTACTATTGAATCTGAACATTCAAACCCAGGTTAGGAAAATCCCTATTTCAAGCTGTGGGTTTTTATGACCACATTTTTTTCTACGGAAACCTAATTTGAGAAAACTTGGAAGTTTCACATTCTCTTTCATTGGATTGCTGTTGAATAATTCATTCGGAGGAAGGGCAGGGCTGAAATCAAAAAGCAACCTCCTAAATAATAATAGCTAAACTGTTCTCCGAGACCTCGTGTCAACAAAACCTCGCCAGGGCAAATGCAAACTTTAAGAAACGACCGCCAGATCAGCCTAAAGAGAAGCGAACGACGTCTAAAATCATATCGAATGGATGGATGCTGCAGAAGTGGAAGGCAAAAGCTTGGGTCTCTTAAAAAAGGTTAAAATCATGGCAAATGGACCGATGTTTGTTAATCTGAGATGGTTTGTTACTCATCCAAGCAACTTCATCAGTCAAAATAAAAAAAAAAAATTAGTTAGGTTGAGAATGACCCAACTCTTGCCATACCAACTGCAGGGGTTTCTGCCCAAAATGTATTGAAATATGTCCATGAAAAAAAAACCTGGATTATCTTTCAAACTGCCACCATTCCTGAGCAGAAACTCTCCTCTTCAGAATTCCCATGGACAACCCACAGCTAATCAACTAATGAAGGAGAGAAGCAACCTAGAACTAAGGAGAAACTTCCTGACAGTTAGAATAATTAACCAGTGGAACAACCTGCCTCCAGAAGCGGTGAATGCTCCAACACTGGAAGTTTTTAAGAAGAGACTGGACAGCCATTTGTCAGAAATTGTATAGGGTTTCCTGCCTGAGCAGGGGGTTGGACTAGATGACCTCCAAGGTCCCTTCCAACATTATTACTATTATTATTATTATTATTATTATTATTATTATTATTATTATTATTATTATTATTATTATTATTACTCTTCTAGGGACAAGGCCCATTCGAACTGATTAAGAGACAGCCTGCTTCATAAATTTATTTTACAAACCAAGAGAATTCCAGAGGAATCTACCTGACTTTCTTGAAAACAACACCTGCCAATAAATGATTAAATAAATAAAGCACAACGGATTTTAATACTGCATTCATTATAACAAGAATGGGGATCTGAAGATAAAAAAAAAACAGCCTTATCTAAAATTGCTGTGGGGACTGCGCTAGTAGAGCTGAATGAAGAGAAGCAGGGTAATCTTCAATTTCAGACAGGATCGGAAGAATATGCAAGATCCGTGGCCTTTATTCCTGAAATGTTCACAAAATGCCCCCTTCGCATCTCTTATCAACATTGGAGACATCAGTAAGGCAAATGCCATTGGTGGAGAGCACTTAAAAGCCTTCTTCCAATGTTAACATCTCTCCCAATTATTCTTTGTTTTCAGGGAAGATCTTAAACCTCCCATCGCCTGTTAGGATGCTTGGCCCGAACAAGACTTTTGTCCTTCGTTTCTGAAGGAAACTGGGGATAACAATTCGAAAGGTGCAGCGTGCTAAACCAGAGTTTTTAAAACCATGATTTGTTGATCATAGCTACAGAGTGTCCCAAAGGTGTTTTTTTTTTTTCAAGAGGCAACTGGACTTTTCTTACAGTGAGGACAATTAACCAGTGGAACAGCTTTGCCTTCAGAAATCGTGGGCGCTCCCATCACTGGAGATTTTTAAGAAGAGGCTAGACAGTCACTTGTCTGAGATGGTATAGGTTCTCCTGCTTGAGCAGGGGGCTGGACTAGAAGACCTCCAAGGTCCCTTCCAGCTCTATTCTATTCTTATTCTTTGTTTTTCTTGGAAGACGTTTCGCTTCTCATCCAAGAAGCTTCTTCAGTTCTGAATGTCAGAACTGAAGAAGCTTTTTGGATGAGAAGCGAAACGTCTTCCAAGAAAAAACAAAGAAAGTCCAGTTGCCTCTTGAAAAAAACACCTTTGAGACAACCATGACCTGGATGACTGAGAATCTCCACAGACACATAGCGACAGGGTCTAGTTCAGGGGTAGGCAACCTTGGCTCTTTTATGACTGGTGGACTTCAACTCCCAGAATTCCTGAGCCAGCATGGCTCAGCTTGGAAACCTCTCCCTTTCCCCTCAGCATGGCTGGCTCAGGAATTCTGGGAGTTGAAGTCCATGAGTCATAAAAGAGCCAAGGTTGCCTACCCCTGGCCTAGATGATAGGAAACTTGGCTCTTTTATGACTGGTGGACTTCAACTCCCAGAATTCCTGAGCCAGCATGAGGGAAACCTTGGCCCCTTCATGACTCGTGGACTTCAACTCCCAGAATTCCTGAGGCAGCATGGCTCAGCTTGGAAACCTCTCCCTTTCCCCTCAGCATGGCTGGCTCAGGAATTCTGGGAGTTGAAGTCCATGAGTCATAAAAGAGCCAAGGTTGCCTACCCCTGGCCTAGATGATAGGAAACTTGGCTCTTTTATGACTGGTGGACCTCAACTCCCAGAATTCCTGAGCCAGCATGAGGGAAACCTTGGCCCCTTCATGACTCGTGGACTTCAACTCCCAGAATTCCTGAGGCAGCATGGCTCAGCTTGGAAACCTCTCCCTTTCCCCTCAGCATGGCTGGCTCAGGAATTCTGGGAGTTGAAGTCCACGAGTCATAAAAGAGCCAAGGTTGCCTACCCCTGGTCTAGTTTAGCAATAAGACTAAGCCAACATGCGTAAGCGGGAGCATAATTCTAAGCTAAAGCCAAAATCACATGATAGCTTAGTATTATATGTGCATTTGTATAAAAGCAGACTTAAACTGCCAAGCCAATACTAAACCCAAGGGATTCTTTTTTTTTTGTTTTTTTTTGTTTAAATAGAAAGAAACACACCTTCAAAGTTACAAACAGAAAGACCTTACTTAAGAGAATAGCCAGTGTCCAGAGACTGAACTTCTCTTCCTGGAGGGGAAGCAATCTTGTCTTCTTCCCCGCAAGATTCGGAAACCCCTCCGTTGGCGGCTCCAGGGCTCTTCCTACTACAGCGAGGAGACTGAGAAGGAAAGCCGTCTAACGATTTCATCAACGCCGACGAGAAGTGATTGCTAATGGAATAGATTTTGCTGCATTTCTCCCCCTCGGCGCTGGTTTTCAACATCTCATAGGTCTGAGATGAAGTGAGTGGAAAGCTGCGTGCTCGTTGGCTGGGTGCTTTTGTGACCGGCGGGTCGAGTTCCGCATTTTGTGAGGCTGGAAGATTCAAAGATGAGTCAAGAGGGGTGCTGTTGTTCATCTTGGAAAGCGAAGCACCGTGATCCACAGAAGAAGAAGAAGACACGTTGGTTTGACTTTGTTCTAGAGAGGAGGGCAAGGGACCGCTCTCAGCGCCTCGGTGGTCAGTGTTACTGGTGGACACTGGCTGAGGATCAAATGTAGCAGATCTGGAAGCCTGCCTACTCGAAGCTTGCTCTTTTTCAGTGGGCAGCTTTGGACTCAACTTCCGAGTTCCCTTCTCAGGAGACTGAGGAGTGCCCAGATTTTCAAAAGAGCTTATTCTCTGCTTTATTGATGATCCTCTAGGTCTAGGGGAGGTCCGGATGATCTTGGTAATGCAGCTCAGCTCATTGTCAGATAGGCTCTGATGCTCAGTGCTACTGCTTCGGAGAGTTTTTGCCTCTGAACTTCCTTTTTGGAGTCCCTTGAGGCTCTGGCGGAACCAAGCTGGTTTGGGTGCTACAGGTGGACCTTTCTTCACAAAGTCACCTTCCTCTGACATGGAAGAGGCTTTGGGATCACTCTCCTCGGTGTCTGATGGCTTCAGGGCGTCTCCTGAGCGATGTAAGGCTGGCTCACCATCTTTGCTCTCGATGCCACGAGGCATGTTTAAGCTGCACCTTTCTTCAGCCATGCTGGGGTTAAACAAGCTTTTGATGCAGTCGGAAATTCTCACCCAAGGATCTTCGGTTGTCGTCTCCAGGCTATAATCCACCCTCGCTTGTCTTCTGAGGGCAGGCCTTGTAGATGGGTCTGTCTTCCCTGGAGTGGCAGAAAACACTAAGATGCATCATATGATTTAAAAAAAAAAATATGTCAGCTCTCGCCAAGGGGACCATTCTGAATTCAAAGTTGCCCTGTAGGATTACAGTTCCTGCACGCTTGTCAGCAAGGTCCACCGAACTCAATTTTACCCAAGGAACTCTACAAAAATTGGTTTGCATGTGTGCCACTAACAATCCTGGAATTGCTCCCTTGCAGCCCTATCCCTGTGAGTGAAATTTATTTCCAAGTAAGCAAAAAACTGAGAAAATCTCTTTCAGGTGGAGCTAGCTGTCCATGCAGTTTTTATGATAGCAACAGAGGCGCAAGGTCATTATCTTCTTCTATTTTTTTTTTTTTTAAAAAATTCAAATGTAATCATGGGAATTCCTGGTGGTCTCCAATACAAGGGCTAACAAATCCCAAACCTCCTTAGCTTCTGAGCCTAGACAAAGTTCAGGTGTGCCACCAGCTGAGAAACTTCCAGGTAGACACAGTTACTAACCTACATAGTTGCGCAGTTAGATAATCCCACTTCGTTATATTAATTTTGAGTGCAATCCCAGACAGATTTATTCAGATGTTTGCAGAAAACTGCCTGCCAATCTGCAGTCTTGGTCATAATAACCATCACTTGCCCAGGATTGCAAAGCTGGAATTTGCAAAATAATTCCTATCTCCCATTTAAAAGAGACTCCTTGATGAACGCTGACTTTCCATTGCAGAGAACCGAATCTTACCTTTGTTGTTTTTCTTTTCCTGATCTGCAGCTCCCGGGGACACCTTCAGCTGTTCTGCAGCTCGTGGAGCTAAGGAACTTGCAAATGCGCCGTGCGTTACAACCGTCTTATTTCTCAGCCACAGCAGGTCCCCAACTTCCTGTCGACAAAACAGGAAGCACATAACTGACAACACTTAGTTGCATCAAACTGCATTCTCTGGTACCTTTAAAGCTGTTCCATCTAGATCAGGGCTCCTCAAACTTGGCCAGTTTAAGACTTGTGGACTTCAACTCCCAACATGGCTGGCTGGGGAATTCTGGGAGTTGAAGTCCAGAAGTCTTAAAGGGGCCAAGTTTGAGGACCCCTGATCTAGAGAAACATAAAAGGTTTCATCTAGAACTCAGCACAAAACCACCTTGGCCTTTCAAGTCTGACAAATGCTGTTGTTAGTTCAGCTTTATGCCATTAGATTCTGTAGTCAATCACACTCAGTTAGGATTTGGTTGAATACTGATTTATCTAACTAGTGTTTCTCAACCTTGACAATTTTAAGGCCTGTGGACTTCAACTCCCAGAATTCCACAGCCAGCATTGCTGGCTGTGGAATTCTGGGAGTTGAAGTCCACATGCCTTAAAATTGTCAAGGTTGAGAAACACTGATCTAAACACTGGGTTAAAATAACAGGGATTTCTTCTCTCTTTTTTTTTAACCATCATTTTTTTTTTTTGCCACTTTTTAAAAAAAATTTGCAGTCAATTCCTAAACTTTTTTTTTTTAATCAAAATAGGGACTTGATTTACACATGCATTTCTGTTTCTGGAAAAATAAAAATGATGCTTTCAGAGGCTTAAATACAGTATTCTCCCCCTCCCCCAGTTCCCATTTGATTTGATTTGCATTTTCATTTGAAAGAGGAAGAGAACGTTGGTGAAATGTTCTTGGGTAAAGTGTGGTTTTCTTTTCTTTTTTTTTCTTTTAATATGTTTTATTGATTTTTAACGTACACCTTCATATTTGGTAAACATCGTGTTATCTGGGTTAATGTATGTTATACTAAGAAATGTACTAATTTAAGGTTGATAAAAGAGAATATTATTGGAAGAAGAGAAAAATCAAGGAAAGCTACTATGTGGAGTATGGAATTATAGAAACTAATTGTTATGATTGATTGTTTGTAAATATAAACCCGGACAACACACTGTTTACCAAACATTAATGGTGATTATGTTAAAAAAATAATAAAATATATTTAAAAAAAAGGAGTGAATTTTTATGAGGGGGATTCTCAAGTAAATAAGATATCTAACAGCTGTTTCCAAATCAATCAACAAGGTAATCAACAAGGTTGGACCCCACCTTCACAAAAGAGACATGTCCCCTTTATGTTATTACTTTTTATAGGAATAGGATAATAAGCCGCCTGGGAAAGCCAAGGGAAATCATCAAAACAATTAAAAAACGAAAATTAGAATATTTCGGACATGTGATGCGACACCCAGAAAAACACGGCCTACTCCATTTAATCCTCCAGGGAAAGATGGAAGGCAAACAAGGTCCAGGCAGAAGAAGAACATCGTGGCTTCAAAATCTAAGGGACTGGTTTGGACAAAACTCAGCAGCACTTTTTTGTGCGGCTGCTGATAAAAACAGGATTGCCAACATGGTCGCCAATGTCCGATAACGGATATGGCACAAGAAGAAGAAGAAGATAGGAATAGGAATAGGGTGGGATCAGGGTTGGGGTTGGGATTTGCGTTAGGGTTAGGGTTGGGGTTAGGGTTTTTACAAATAACATTTTCAATATTTAGCAAACAACATAATGCCTGGGTTCATGTGCTTAAAGAAAAAAAACCCCAATGAATAATAGATATCTTGTCTTACCTGAGTGTTTGAAGATGGTGGGACTTCACTCTCAGGCAGACTGGGCCTGTCTTTCATCTCTCTGATCGTTTGCTCATTATCAGGGCAATCCTGTTTGAAATACTTCCTTGGTGGGGGTTTGGGTTTGATGGACCGGGGTTTTCTAACCAGGATCTCTGTGCATTTTTTAGCAGCATGGGGTGAAAGGGGGTTGACATCTTGAGATACTGACCGGGAAGACTCATTTCGTAAACTCATTTCAGAAAACGAATGTCGGGAGCCTGGCGGCTGTGTAATCGCTACATCCAGATGATGGTCTTTTCCTGGGCCGTTGGTCAACTGATAAAGCAGGCCATTTCCACAAGAGGACCTGGGGTTGTAACTGCTATCACTGCTGGAACGGATCATTGGCTTTTGAGAAGGGTGGTTGAGGTGGGCATCATTCTTCTCCAAGTATTTTTCACAGGGAGCTTTCTTAAGCCAGCTGCCCCCTGCATTAAAAGTAGAACACGGACACGGTCAAACACTGCAGGGAAGAGATACAAGGTAATGGCTAGAATCCAAAGTCCTTCCCAAATGGTTCTGTGCATCCCAAAGGGCCTGGGATTTTGTTTGAGGATTTCAGTAGCCCTTTCCAACACAGCTTACTTGCGTGGCAAAGCATGAAGGTTGCAAAAGGTCTATGTTATCACCTGGGAAGCTGCAGTTCAGAGTTTAAAAATCTCCACTGGATCACTCTGTGCCAAGGAACTAATCTAAATTCTTTCTCGTTATTGATAACTGTCCAATATGGTATTGATTTTACCCTGTGGTCCACTAAAATTAATGCCTGCTTTACTAATACAAAATCAACGGCCACATTATTATTTTTTATTTCTATTACAATTGCTCAAAGAACAATTAAGGTTTTCTTGGTGACGGTGAAGGTGATGATTCCTTATTTTACGGTCTGAAAGTCTTGGAGTAATGATACTATCAAAGAAGATGCATTTCAACCCAATTCTTTCTGGCTTTGGGTGGAGAGGGTTGTATGTTACAATAGGGATGTTATATCCAGAACGTTCTAACCCTTTTTTACATCTTAGGAAAACAAAGAACAAAACCCATTAAGTCAGTTTAGGTTCAGATCGAAGGAACTGCTGGATTGTATTTTTAAAACTGTAGTTCAGTATTCTTTGCTATTTTGTCCCGTAAGATCTGGTTTTCTCTCTGTGATATCTGGGTACCAACTGTAGTAACAGGTTGATGGACCACAAAAGTCTCTAAGCTGTTCTGGCCTGGTTGGATACTTAAACAGCATGGCAAATTATTTGTATCTACATTAAGGGGAAATCCTTACCTTCTGCATTCCAGTGGAATCTGTCTCTTTCAAACTTGTTGCTTTCCATAGCATTGGAAACAGCATCCTTTAGCTGCTGTTCAGAAACCTGCAAGAGGCCACAGGCCATCAAACCATGCTGAAAATTTTAAAGACTGGCAAGAGTCTGCTTTAATTTCCATTTCCACAATACTTTGTAATCACCTAACCACCACTTTGAAGTCTCCCCTAGAACTATGGGTGGGCTTCACTATTACATTCTATTAAATTCTGAAGATCAGCCTTTTGCCCAAGGTTTCAGTGAAGATATCTAAAGGGGGTTACTCACTGCAGAACGATACTTCATGCCAAGACTTGTTAACAACTCAACTTTGGGGTCTCCGTTGATCTAATGAAAAATAACCATCTCCGATTTTATATATAGTTTTTTGCAGCACTTTGGGTCCAAAAACAGCAACATACTTTAGAGCAAGGGTCTTCAAACTTGGCAACTTTAAGACTTGTGGACCTCAACTCCCAGAATTCCTCAGACAGCCCTGGCTGACTGAGGAATTCTGGGAGTTGAAGTCCACAAGTCTTAAAGTTGCCAAGTTTGAAGAGCTCTGCTTCAGAGAACACAATATTAGGACTGTCTGCAGCTTCTTAAAACTACTGCATCTTTCCCCCCCCCAAAAAAGAGATGCAGCTGCTTTAAGGAGTTTCATAGAGTCGCTATACGCATGTCTTATGCATTCTGAAGCATCTTTCCCCCTTCATCTTTGAAGTGCTACACAACATTAATTTTAAGCAATAAGAATTAAAATACATGGTTGCTGTTAAGGGACAACAAAAATGAAAGAAAGAGAATGGCCAAGAGATTCCAAAGAAGGATGGTCAACACCTTTGCAAGGCTAGAGGCCTCAGCAGATACCTGATAAAACTCAGACTGGATTTAGGTTCTCCACAACTTTGCCAACAAGTGTTCTTGGTACTTGTGTGGCTTTTTTGGGGGGAGGGGAGGGCTACTTTGGCAGTTGTCCCAGTGCTTGGAGATCATTAAAATATATACATTTCTTTCATTTTCCACCTTACCTGTGGTTCAGGATGCCTGCTAATGATAATTTGCACAATGCCAGGATTGCAGTGGCTTAGGACAGCATGAACTTCACTAAGGGTCATTGTTTGAACCGATGCCTCGTTGATTTCCACTATTTCATCTCCACCTCTTCGAGAAGATTGACATTAAAAAAAACAAAACAAACACCAAGTGTTAACCTTAGCATTGTCAACATCGTATATTTTTTGCAGACCTGAAACATTACCAATGTGGTTTCTATTTGCTACTTTAGGATTCCAAACACGAAGCCTGAAGCCCAAAGGATTTTAGCTTGTCTTCTACTGTCAAATGAGTAATCCATGTATAGGCCAATTAAGGCAGCAGATTTCAACTTCTTCCTCTCACACTCTTTTTGATATAAAGGGGACATGTCTCTTTTGTGAAGGTGGGGTCCAACCTTGTTGATTACCTTGTTGATTGATTTGGAAACAGCTGTTAGATATCTTATTTATTTGAGAATTCCCCCCTCATAAAAATTCACTCCTTTTTTAAAATATATTTTATTACTTTTTTTTAACATAATCACCATTAATATTTGGTTTATATTTACAAATAATCAATAACAATTAGTTTCTATAATTCCATGCTCCACATAGTAGCTTTCCTTGATTTTCTCTCCTTCCAATAATATTCTCTTTTATCAACCTTAAATTAGTACATTTCTTAGTATTTTAGTAGATCGCAATGGAATACAAACATTTTTCTAGTATTTCTACAAGTAACAGCCACCTCCCTATGAAGCTTCTTTTCTAATTAATCTTCTTCATCCCCTTATCATAGATCCTGTCATTAAAGTTCTTACTTCAATTTATTTTCCCCACCATGTTAAAAAACATTTTTACCAGTTACGATTTTCTTAGAGTTAATTGCACTTAAAATATTTAAGTCTTTTTCCTCATACAAGCCATCCCAACAGTTTTACATTTCTCATATCTTAAAACAGAAGAAGAAGAAGGAGGAGGAGGAGGAGGAGGAGGAGGAGGAGGAGGAGGAGGANGAAGAAGAAGAAGAAGAAGAAGAAGAAGAAGAAGAAGAAGAAGAAGAAGAAGAAGAAGAAGAAGAAGAAGAAGAAGAAGAAGAAGAAGAAGAAGAAGAAGAAGAAGAAGAAGAAGAAGAAATAATAATATACTACTTGAAAAACACTCACTCCTTCTAAGTTAGTTGGTTGGGTCACTGTTAATACAGCAACAGCACTTAGAGAAAGCCAAGCCCCAAAGCTTAGGGACCACTGCTTAACAGCATTTTACAATGTCAGTTTACAATGTCAGCATATTGCCCCCAACAACCTGGGTCCTCCTAGGACAAGCTAATCCACCTCCCACTGCATTTAAGTGTGTTATGTGAAGAAGGTCAATGGTTGTTATCTCTTGCCCCTGTCTCACTGACAGAGGGAGGCCCAGCTGAACAGAAAGGGTTCGACAAAGATTGACTCATGGCACAGAGAAAGAATACCCAGGCTCCTGTTTTTGGTTTCATCTCACTCTTACTTCTCTAAACTTTCTCCGGATGCTCTGCTTTGCAAGAAGCAGAGCCTTGGCACAGAATTTAGCAGCTATGTTGTGCTTACAGTTTCTTTCTTTGTTGTTGTTGCAGCCTGGTCTTTCACTTTGCAGGGGAATTTCAATATTGAGATATTTCAAGGAAAGCAAGAAAGAGAGGGAGGAAGGGAGGGAGGGAGCAAGAGGGAGGGAGAAGGAAGGAAGGAAGGAAGGAAGGAATAAAGAAAGAGGAAGGGAGGGAGAAAGAGGGAGAAGGAAGGAAGGAAGGAAGGAAGAAAGAGAGAAAGAGGGAGAAGGAAGGAAGGAAGGAAGGAAGGAAGGAAGGAAGGAAGGAAGGAAAGAAAGAATAAAGAAAGAAAGGGAGGGAGAAAGAGGGAGAAGGAAGAAAGAAAGAAAGGAAGGAAGGAAGGAAGGAAGGAAGGAAGGAAGGAAGGAAGTTTTGCAATGCATGTGGATGAATTGAGTTTGCCCATAACGATTGTAAGGTATGCCCTTTTTTTCCAGGCAAAAAATTAGATTGGCTTTGGAATAGAAAAACAAACGTGGCACTGTAACCTCTCACCTTTTGAAAAAGTGGGAAGTGAATGTCAGAAAACTTTGGAAATTATTCAGTCTTGACCTACCTGAGCCTCCCATCCATGTGAGCCACAGACCCGGGCGAAAGAGTGTGGATGAATATCCCTGAAATGTACCGGGAGTAAGGGATGCTGCACAAGCCAATGCCGAGGCCCACACCAGCCTCTGTGGAAAATATATTAAAAAGAGAAGGAGAGGCAAAGAGGAAGTGAGCTATCCAAATGATCAAGGAATTGTGCCACTTTCCTCTATAGTCACTCTATGTCAATAACAAGTATTAGGCTTGCCTCTATCCTCAACCATTCAGCATTTCTGCATGCGTGCCTGGTAGCTTGGTCCACAAAGGGTGCGAAGCTGTGGTTTGTTTTACCACGATTTCACATGCCAGAATAGTACACACATATTAAGACATTAAAACTGGTCTGCAAGCCACCACAGCCGAGTAGATGTGCTAGGCTAGCCAAATAAGTTATTTTTTTTTTTAATGAATCCAGTCATTGTATTAGAATGATTGCTCTCTCAAATCCTGCCAAACCAGAAGGTACTTTTGGCACAGCATCACCCAAAAATAAGGGGGGGGGGAAAGGCTCAGAGGGACAGTATATTTGAGCCAAGTCTATTCTGGAAACACTTGAGGGGTTTTTTGGGGGGGAGGGTTGCTATATTTACTGCTCACCTTTATTTAAGGAAACTTCCATCATGATCCTGTCATTGGGGTTCATGGTGCTCAGAGGAAACGCTGGGCTTTCTGGACCAAAAGAGCTGTTCTCCTTGGTGATGCACATGCTGGTACTTAGAGAACGACAAAGGTGAGATGATAAATAGCTGGTGGCCGAAGATGGAGTGCTGAAGCTTGTTCGAACGGTGAGTGTGAGGAGACCCTTCTTGGCCTGCTAGAAATAAGGAAGCCTTGTGAGAAGAAGGACGAGAAGAACATGAAACAGGAGGAGGAGGAGGAGGAGGAGGAGGAGGAGAAGAAGAAGGAGAAGAAGAAGAAGAAGAAGGAGAAGGAGAAGGAGAAGGAGGAGGAGAAGGAGGAGGAGAAGGAGAAGGAGAAGAGGAGGAGGAGGAGGATTGTGGGGTCCTTGGTGCTCTCTGAGCTTGGTTGTTTTCTTGCAAACATTTCATGAGGCAACTAGCTAACATTGTCAGTGCTAGAAGGGAGGAGGAGGAGGAGGAGGAGGAGGAATACATGAAAGAGAAGGGGAAGGAGAAGCAGGGGAAGGGGAAGGGCAAGAGTAGGGGGAGGAGAGAAAGAAAAGGAAGAGGAGAATTCATGTAGGAGAAAAAACATTGCACAGGGCCATCACCTTAAATTTCTGCAAAGCTTCATGGTGTGTGAGTCCGTGCATTGACTCTCCATTCAATTCCAGGATTTCATCTCCTGTTGCATCAAAATAAACAATCTTATTAGCTAGTTTTTGGCACCTGCATTTCATCAGCTTCTCACCAAGGTTCACTAACCATTACACACACACACATGCACACTTTCCCCATAGGATAGCTGTACATAAGATCAAACCCACTAAACCCACTCATTTTTTCCCCCCAAGATAGACCTTCAGATGTTTACAGAAACCTTCTGTAAACCAAACCGTCCAGTTCCAATTCATTCAAAGGCGGGGGGGCAACGTTATCCTACCTTCCTGCAACCGTCCATCTGCAGCAGCTGCTCCCCCAGGAAAGATTGTCTTCACATAGATGCCAATGGGGCCATAAATGCTGTCTTGGCCACCCACAATGCTGAAACCCAATCCCTAATGGGCAGGAACAAAGGGGGCATTTTACTTGATTAATCACCTGCTCCTTTTACTAACTGCTTAAACAAGCAATGAAAACACTTCTGTTTGTGAAAAGTTCCTGGAGGAAAAAATGTTTTTATTGGCCTTCAACTCTGAGCAGTAAAGTTGCGATACAGATACACATGGGGGGTGGGGGGAACCCCCAAATGTAATAGGAAGGAAAGTTTCTCTCCTTTACTCCCCTAATTGTGAAACTAGAACCTATCCTACCCTCAACTCCAAAAAGTGCTGGGAATTTATTCTTAAGTAGCCGTGGATGAATCAATGCTCCTGTTGGTTCAGGATGGTTTTCCTTGCATGCATTTATAGATCTGCACCATTCAAATCCCGCACATTTCAATAACATTTAAAATCTATGGGGAAAAACAACAATGTCTTGCTTCCTGCTTAGAACGGACTTTTATTATTGGAATGAAGGAGTGGTTCAATTCATCACAGAATTAGTAGCCAGTTGCAGAAGCATGCACAGAGCGGGTCATTTTTGGATAGTTATTTTTTAATGCCTTTTCAAGAACAATAAGGATAACAGTATATTATTGCACTGAGCCCCTGATTTGTTAGGATGAAAGAGCAATCTTGAAATTGTAAACAGAAACGAAATCTGCCAGTACACGATGCGATTCTCCAGACCAGTGCTTCTCAACCTAGACAACTTGAAGACGTGTGGACTTTAACTCCCAGAATTCCTCAGTTACATGGCTGGGGAATTCTGGGAGTTGAAGACTACAGGTCTTCAAGAAGTCAAGGTTGAGAAACATTGCTGTAGACCAGGGGTAGTCAACCTTGGCTCTTTTATGACTCGTGGACTTCAACTTCCAGAATTCTGGGAGTTGAAGTCCACGACTCATAAAAGAGCCAAGGTTGACTACCCCTGCTGTAGACCAATCTCTCCCTTAAAGGAAGACTGGAGTTTTAAAAAATGGACTCCAGGAAACCATTTTGGTCCCAGTGTTCCTATATATTATCCAAGAAAGACATATAAAGCAGAGATCTCACCTTTCCTTGACCTTTCATTAGAACAATGTTGGAGATCATGGAGGCCTGTAAACCTGAAGATGTGGACATGAGGTGGGCGGTACTTAGTGAGCGAGATGATCTGGAGAGAGGCTACAGTTGAAAGAAGCAGCAAGGAAAGGTTAGTATAATACTGGAGGAATTTTTTAAAAATTATATTTTTATTTAAAGTATCCCAATTTTCGCCTACAACGGAGTTGTGAATTATATGCTGGTGACATATCTTTCATCATTCTTCATAACCAGTGAGGATGGTAGTTGTAACCTACAATCAGGCTCCAAATGGCTCTATTGCATCCACATCTCCTCAAGGTTTCTGTTGGTGCCATGCAGAGACTTGAATCCTGCCTCTTTTTTCCTGTCTTTATCATTCAAAATTTGCTTTCGGAAATCTTTTTCAGAGAAGGAGAGTTTCCTCTGAGTGAAACTCTCCTAGCTGGAGGGTTCTGTTCTTGCCTTTATTTAATTAGGAAGTCGCCAGGGATGTGTATTAATGGCCACTTCCTAATTATATAAGTGCAAAAACACCACACACATAACAAATTATCTTTAACTGAACAATCCTCGCTCTCTATCAGTCTCCTAGGCAGAGAGAGGCGTAGCCCAGCCCTTGAAAAACTGCTGGAGAATCTCTCCTTTCCCTGGATAAGTTCAGGAAAAAATACCCTCCCAAGTTTTGAGGTGGAGAATTCCTGAAGACCAACCCTGGTTCAGACCTTATTTCAATTCTAACTTGCTCATCCAGCAACTAAACGATTCTAACCGATTCTGCAAACAGAGCAGCAATATGCATTTCACTGAGGATTTACAGTCCTTCACGGATGCTGAAGGTAAAGGAAGGTGGAACAAACATCATTTGGAGATGCAGGTGATGTTCTCCTTGGTCCATGGAAGTGACCTCCTTCTTCTGAGGTCAAGGACTTCTGGAAAACAGGCTGCTTTGTTGTAGGGCAGTCTAACCAGGAAGGAAATGTTTGGCCCGAAAGCTGCGTTTCCATCTGCATTGTCATTTCTTGACCGTTCTACAGATGGAGCGCTAAAGTCCGGTGGGCTTCCTTTTCCTCTTACCTTGACAGCTGTTTTTCCTGCTGCATTCTCCAGCTGTTGAGAGAATGACTTTCTGTTGCTATAAAGGGACTGTCTGTACCGAGAGGCTGACTTCTTGACCACAGAGCAATCAACGTCTCCTATCCAGTATGGACTAGCACCTTAAGAGGGGGGGAAAAGTAGACTGAACTGAATACTTTATTTGGCCAAGTGATGTTAGACACACAAGATGTTTGTCTCACAAATCATCATCATCATCAACATCATCATCATCATCATCATCATCATCATCATCATCATCATCATCATCATCATCATCATCATCCCGATAAGGGGAAGTAGTAAAGAAGATAATGAGAACGATAAAAATAATACTGCAGCCATACTACATGGGTAAATATATAATAATAATAATAATAATAATAATAATAATAATAATAATAATAATAATAATAATAATAATAATAATAATAATAATAATAGTAAAGTTGGAAGGGACCTCATCTAGTCCAATCCCCTGCTCAGGCAGAAAACCTTATACCATTTCGGACAAATGGCTGTCCAGTCTCTTCTTAAAAACTTCCAGTGTTGGAGCATTCACCACTTCTGGAGGCAGGTTGTTCCACTGGTTAATTGTTCTCACTGTCAGGAAGTTTCTCCTTAGTTCTAGAGAGAGACACTAGACAACATTGTGGGAATTAGGTGTTCAGCAGAGTGATGGCAGGAAAGAAAAAACTGTCCCTGTGTCTCTAGTAGTTTTGGCCTGCAGTGCCCTCTAGCGCCATCTTGAGGAGAAGAGTTGAAACGGTTTATGTCCAGGATGTGATGGGTCTGCAGATATTTTCTCAGCCCTCTTTCTGACCCATGCAGTAGGTCTTCCGTGGAAGGCATGGTGATTGCAGTTGTCCTTTCTGCAGTCCTAACTATCCGTTGGAATCTGTACCTGTCCTGTTTGGTTGCTGTACCAAACCAGATAGTTATAGAAGTCCAGCAGTGTTCTTCTATAGCAGATAGCGGGGTTCCAATATCTCAGGGGCTGCCCCAAAGAAGAGGGAGTCAAGCTATTCTCCAAAGCGCCTGAAAGCAGGACAGGAAGCAACGGGTGGAAACTAATCAACGAGAGAAGCAGCCTAGAACTAAGGAGAAACTTCCTGACAGTTAGAACAATTAACCAGTGGAACAACCTGCCTCCAGAAGCGGTGAATGCTCCAACACTGGGAGTTTTTAAGAAGAGACTGGACAGCCATTTGTCTGAAATGGTATAGGGTTTCCTGCCTGAGCAGGGGGTTGGACTAGATGACCTCCAAGGTTCCTTTCAACATTATTTATTATTATTATTGATCATCGCACAGTCAGCCAGATGTTCAGACTGGATTTGGCATCTTTGTCTACCTATCAAGTCCTTACCAAGGACCTGGGATAGGCAAATGTGGATGTTTGATGGTATTACAGATATCATCGCAGGATGGAAGCAGGTTTTTTTTTAATAATTTTTTTTTAAACCAACAAAACAAAACAAAACAAAACATAACACACATACACAGACAGTGTATACTCCTCCCTTTTTTTTAACAGCAATTTCGTAATGGTAATCTTCTATTATTTACATTTTCCCCCTTATTCTTCTTTAGAATATTTGTCTTTGTTGTCCCGTTGTTTTTATTATACACACATTTTCCACTTTTGACCTTTCCACATTTATTCTCCTCTATTATTTCTAGTCTCCAACCAGTCATACCACTTGAAGCAGTTTTTTATTATTATTATTATGGATCATCGCACAGTCAGCCAGATGTTCAGACTGGATTTGGCATTTTGTCTACCTATCGAGTCCTTACCAAGGACCTGGGATAGGCAGATGTGGATGTTTGATGGTATTACAGATCTCGTCGCAGGATGGAAGCAGTTCCTAATAAGGCTGCCTTTTGCAATTGACTAATAGCGAATTTGTCAATGCCAATGGTGTTCAAGTGGTGCTCCAGTTGTTTTGGGATTGCACATTATTATATTATTATTATTATTATTATTATTATTATTATTATTATTATTATTATTATTATTATTATTACAAATGATAGACTCAATAATTCTTCTGTCAAACTGTATCAGCAGCTCCTGGCATAGTTTGAACTTCCTGAGTGGATGCAGGAAGACATTCTTTCTTGGGTCTTTTTAATGATGGTTTTAATGTTAGGTGTCCATCTCAAGTCCTGGGAGATTATAGAACCCCCAAACCTGAAAGATTCCAGTGCTGATACTGTGCGTTCAATCCCAGGAAGAGGTGGTGGGATAGAAGGCTCCTTCTAAAATCCACTCTCATCTCTACAGTTTTAAGCATGGTAGAGATAAACAACCTGGCTGCATTTCTTTCCAGAACATTCCTACTTCACCGTTTTTAATAGGCATCTGCAAGCATCTCCTTCCCTTTCCTATCGTCATCTCCAGAATGGGAATCATTAGATTGCTACACTTTGTGCAGATCTTGGTGCAGCAAGGCCGAATCAATGTCAAGTGTGTATATTATGCACATCTGCGTGCATCTGTACGTAGCCTAAACTGCAGAAACTTACTGGCTGAATTGCTGCGCGTCCGCTGGCATTTGGCTTTCGTCTGCAGAATGGATCCATTTGGCAGGTCATGTTTAGTCGGCTGCTCTTTATGAGGGCCACTGGACGATTCCTGGGAGAATTGGGGGGGGGGGAAAGGCACAACATCTTAAGTATCTGCAATGATTTAAAAGTAGGCTGTGTGTTGGTGTCAACATTCACCCCTAGGTAAACAATGAGAGCCCACTCTGGCATTAGCCTAAAACGTGAACAATCCCTTTTAAACTAAATCAAGTTTGTTTTTTTTTCAAACTTGGCAACTTGAAGATGGGTGGACTTCAACTCCCAGAATTCTCCAGCCAGCACTGGGGAAAAACACTGACCTAAATGGTAGCGGGAGAAAAGATGGGACCCTTCCCCACTTCTCAGTCACATCCAGGCAAGGATTCCTTAATCCTTTTGACAGGCTCTTAATACTGAGCCTTTGGTTCGGAGCCCACTGCAGACACAAACTGCATGGGTTTCTGCATTCGCTGCACCTTACATAAATGGAAGTTTCACAAAAGGTCTCTTGGCAAATTGGAAGGTTATGAGCAAGATGGTGCAGACACATTACAAAACTCTAGGCCTGTCACTGCGATGTGCGTGCCCTGTGGGAAATTGCAGATTTAAAATCAGTAACAGGCAACGCTGATAAGGAAGAGGCCCCATTAGTTAAATACACTGAACACCAATATACTTGGTGCTTTCTGAGGTTGCTTGTTTTCTTGCAGACATTTCATTACCCAAACTAGTTAGCATCATCCGGGCTAATCCGGGCTAGTTAAATACTCTATAGCCAAAAATGGGAATAGGCACAATTGTACATGTGCTTTAACCTGTGGCCATTGCTTTGCGTATGCAACCTTGGCAGGGATGAGTAAATGAATGGATGACAATAGTAGTGAGAAGTCCAGTCTCTCCCCAGTCATTTGTATCAGAGAGGAGAACAAATGTTACTCATGACCGTGAAGGGCACTTAGAGTTAATTCTTTAGAATAGAATAGAATAGAATAGAATAGAATAGAATAGAATAGAATAGAATAGAATAGAATAGAATAGAATAGAATAGAATAGAATAGAATAGAATAGATAAGGAATGGAGAATAGAATAGATATGGAATGGAGAATAGAATAGAATAGAATAGAATAGAATAGAATAGAATAGAATAGAATGGAATGGAATGGAATGGAATGGAATCAAACAGGTTGTAGAATAGAATAGAATAGAATAGAATAGAATAGAATAGAATAGAATAGAATAGAATAGAATCAAACAGATAATAGAACAGAATAGAATCAAACAGACAATAGAATAGAATAGAATAGAATCAAACAGATTGTAGAATAGAATAGAATAGAATAGAATAGAATAGAATAGAATAGAATAGAGCTGGAAGGGACCTTGGAGGTCTTCTAGTCCACCCTCCTGCTTAAGCAGGAGAACCTATACCATCTCAGACAAGTGACTGTCTAGCCTCCTTTTAAAAATCTCCAGTAATGGAGATTTTATATTATAAATTAATAAATTATAAATTATAGACTATAAATTAATAAAAACTGTAACATCAGGGGGAAACATCCCCCCCACACACAAAAGCTGGACCTGAGTTCTTGACATAGAGCGTTCTTCGTAAAGGCTGAGTTCCTTTCTCCTGCAGCAGATGGCGTCTTGGTTAAGTCAGCTGAACCTTGCCGTTAATCTTCCGGGATGACCGAATTAATACTTTTACTGTTTTTCTTCTGGCACTGCTCCTCTGCTGCAGGGCAGGTAGAATTTAAACTGGTGAATCCCCCTCCCACCCTGTTTCCCCTCCCCCATAGGTTGATGCAGTGCTTTTTGTCTAAAAAACAAACAAAAAAAAAAGGTGCCGGAACTCACACACATCATACCACCTGCCTTGCCTACCCTGCAAGGTTCCATCCAAAAAAGGTGCCGGAACTCCGTTCTGG